CAAGGGAAAGTGCAGCTTTGGGGAGGGATTTTTCAGGCTCTCACCTCATCTTCTGGCTTTTGGGACCATGGCTTGCTGCAGAGGGAGAGACTTATCTGTGCAAGGTTGGGGGGCCTGAGCTGTGTAGGAGCAGAGGGCATGTGAAGGCTGGACCAGTGACCCACCAGCACAGTGAGAGGGACACGAGTGTCCACCACTGCCAGTTGGAAATGATTGGGTCTCTAAGGTTATGGGACCAGGGGGTAGGATAAAGCCGTGTCCACACTGGGGAAACAAGTGAAGCTTTCAGTTGGATCAAAGTCCCCTGGTAGGGAGCCTAGGCTAAATCCTGAGCAAAAATCCTAGGTGTGAAGAGTAAGCTGAGGTTGGCATGATAGCAGCAGGTATCCTTTGGGTCTGGGCTCCCCCCAGCACGTCCCTAGGATTTGGTGCCTAGTAAATGTAATGCACCAGAAGCCAGCCCTGATGGGACACATGCACACCCTGAGCTCAAAGGTTTGGGCCATGAAATATCACGGGGCCCCTGCTCTCACGCTGACCTTCCTCTCTCCCCTGAAACAGGAGGGCTGGGGAGCAAAGGGCAATGGCTTGGAAAAGGGGAGACACAAATAGCATCCCCCAGCCAGCCAGTGTCTCTGGTCCAGGGCTGGGACACTGAGGAGAAACCACTGGGAGCCTCAGGGGTCCCACTCACCTGCACAGGGGAGCAGATGAGCCACGACTGCTCAGGAGCAGAGGCCACCCTGGGCCAGGGACCCAGAGAACAAGCCCCTGCCTTTCCCCTGTGGGACTGGATGCCCTGGGTGAGGGTGGAGTGGATGCCTTTTAGCTGAAGCCTTCCCTTGTGCCCCTACCCCAGATCAGGACCTCTTTAGCTGCAGCCTCATGGGGGCCCTGCATGGGGGGGGCCTGATCTGTGCCTCTGCTGTCCTCAGCCACATCCTCTACATTGCCCTGTTGCTGCTGAAGCAGAGACTTAAGAGGCAGCATGGCAAGAAAATGGCTTGGCATCTCTTGCATGGTGGGGAAAGGTCCTGGGCTATGGGCCCTGTGGGCATGGGTACAGGTGGGGCTTGCTTTGGCATCCCAGCCCTGACCTTGCTATCTGGTTGGCATGCCACCAGGGTAGTGAGTCTAAGCTGTGTTGCTGGGGTAGCAAAGGCTAATTCCCTGCTGTTCCCAAAGGGCTTTGCACCTCTTGTCTTTGTTAGCCTCTTCTCCTTTCAGTCAAGGAAGCAGCGAGCTCAGGTCCTAGCAGACTAACCCTTGTCTGATTGCATGTTGCTATGAGGTGGAGGTAGTAGTATGGCTGTGAGACTTTGAGGGTCAGGGAGGAGAAACTGGTGCACTATGGGGGAGACAAAGGGCTAGGAGAGCACTCATGCATCTATCATCACAGGCCCATGGCACCCAGCTGGACCCTGGCTTAGGCACACAACCTGCACTCAGCTGGTAGGGTGCTGGGTCCATTTGTAGGAAGGGCAGAGGCTCCACTCCCCTCCAACTTAAGGGGCAGGGGCTCTATCCATCCATGTGCGCACACTCATGGCTGGATTCTCATGCCAGGCCTCTGCCCCATTGGCAGTGTAAAGGTACCTTTATAGAGCAGCTTTCTGTTGATCTTTCCTGCACAGGAGAAGATGTAGGGGGCTGGGCTCTCTGCTGAACTCCAGCAGCGGGGGCAAACTGAAGGGGTATCACCCAAGAATCCTGTGTAATGGCAATTCTGGGAACCAGAGTATAAGTTAAAGCTACCTCAAGGATGTTCTGACTTCTACCAGTGGCTGAGCAGGGCACCATCTCTGGGGAAGGCAGAGAAGGTGAAGTCATCTCGGTCCCCAACCTGGCCCCGAGTCACTGTGAAGTGGCCCTTTGTGCCATGCCAGGGTCACTGATCTCTCCAAGGCTCTGCCTCCCAGGCATAGCAAAGTCCATCTCCTATCAGCATACCACATGATCCGCTTACACATTTTTTTATTGCTTTTCCTCCAGTGAAGGCTGGGCTCTCTGGGAAGGGCAGGGGGAGGAAGGGAGAAGGTTGGCTCTCATTTGGGAGCAAAGGGCTTGGATGCCTCTTGGCCTGGTCCACCCCCCGCTGATGCACACGTCCCTGCTGCCTCCCTCAGTGCCAGGAGTTTTGTCCCAGTGCCAGCCCCCCACCCCTCCCTCCCATCCCTCTGTTACATGCTTGCTCTTCCAGCCTGGCATTACCCTCTGTCTTCTCCCTCTCTTGGAGGTCTATCCCTACACCCATTATTTCTCTTCTCATCCTTATTTCTGGTTTACATTCCCCTTTAAGGTGCCAGCACCCTTCTGTCCAGGTGCCTCGTGCTGATGAGCACCCCCTGCAGGAAGCCCCAGATGTGGGTTTGTGTGTTTGTTTGTTTGTTTGTTTGGTTGGTTTTTTTTACTTGGGGGAGGGGGGAAAAAAAAGCAGCTCAAAGTCAAGGGTTTTTGTTTTGTTTTTTAATTTTACTCATAAATAAAAACATGCCTCTTTGTTGGCACTTTGTATAAATACACAGTGGAATCTTCCCCCCCCCCCCCCAACAGCTCAAAAAGGACCCGCTACAAATAAAAGAGCAGCTATGATAGTGCTGGGGGCACAGCCCTCCTGTCCCAAGGCACCAATTCGCACCCACTCTAACAGGGTCAGGAGGGAAGTTATCAGGGTCCCCTCTTCCCTGCCCAGAGCAGGCTTCCTGTCCCTGCCTCTGAAGCATGTGGCACAGCCCCTTGGCAGAGATGAAGTCCCAGGCAGGGTGCAACACCCACCTGTTTAAGGGGGAGATTTCCAAAAGCTCCTAAGGAAGTTAGGAGCATTAATCCCATTGAAAATTGGCAGGAATTGGGTTCCTAAGTTCCTCCACTGCCACCCCCTAATCTGGAAAGCACTCTGGGACCAGTTGGATAGCACCAAAGCAATCTAAGTGAGGCCTGAGCCTATGGTGCATACAGTGGACATAGCATAGCTTAGTCCAACCTCAGCTGGGCCCAGGCCCAGATGGGATGGAGGCAGTCAGGACAGCCTATTGCAGAAAGGATTTTTGGGGGTATTCTTTGTGCAGGAAGCACAAGGGTGCCCTGGCTGTATGTTGAGGCACAGGGTGCTCACACAGGTGCACCCTCTCACACCCAGGCACATGCTGCGCCCTCATGGCACGTGGCTCCTCAGTCACTGTCATTTTCTTTGCGTCTCTCACCTCCAGTCCTGCTGGGGAGTGTCCTTCTCAGGTGCCCGTGTTCCTCCCTGGCTGGCACCTGCCAGGACATGGGAGTCCCTAGAAGTAGGTCAGGCAGTGAGGCAGCCCCTGTGGCTAGCAGGGCCACTTGTCAGTTCATTGTGTGCAGCTTTCTGTGCACAGAGTAGACACGCTAGAGGAAGCTCGGAAGGCACTAGACATCCCTTCAGCTCCACCCTGGTGAATTTGGCTGGCCAAGTCCTCACAAGCTGGTCTGGACGGAGTTCATAGGGGCTGGGGGCTCTTCAGCAATAACATTGCTGTAGCATGGGGGCTGGATTTCCAGAGGTGGGTACATGAATGGTTTGGAGGTCACCTATGAAGAAAGAAGTAGGCAGCTCTGAGTAGTGCCCAAGCAACAGCCACAGACAAGACAGCAGGGAGGGAGCATGGACTAATGGCAAGGCACAAGGCACAGAAGTCAGGACCCCTGAGTTCCTTCTGTAGCTCTAGGGGAGGAGCTAGACACAGGGGAGGGCCAAGTTACTCTGAAGGCCAATCCATTGACTCCATCAAGCTGGTCACCCTGAGCCCCAGGACTGCAATGACCAGTCCTGCTACATGACCCCTGGCTGGTCTGGGGATGCAGGGGTCCCAGCCCTAAACCACACCCTCACTGGCCAGCAGGCTTAGGCCCAGCTATCAACTGTCAGTAGGCTCCTAGAAATAATAGAAGGAGCTTGAGAGCTGTGTTTGGGACTGTGGCACAGGGCAATATAAGAGGTGCCATTGTTCGGCCCCCAATGCTACAGCAGCACAGGGCCAGGGATTTTAGGGCAGTTGCCGGTGCGTGTCCCCCATGCACCACACAGCAGTGCCAAGGAGCTCCAGTTACTTCTTGCACCACACTGCCCAAAAGGGTCCATGCCATGCTGGGCTGGAACCAGACAGCTCCCTGGCCAGCACCTGGGAGTACCAGAAGTGAGAATGACATTACCAATGCCCTCCTTATTCCCAGGAATACAGTAGCTTTGCTCACAGCCACAGGGGTCAGAAGGGATGGACTGACACAGCACTGAGGCAGGAACATACCTCGCTGTAGGGAGGGGGGTCGTCATACTGGTTATAAGCCGGGAGCTCAGGCAGGGTAGAGGGGGCAGAAGCTGGAAGGACATAGGGCTGGGACCGTTCAACATCTTCCTGCTGCGAAGGCCTGTTGCAGAACTTGTAGCAGCATATGCAGGCAACAGAGAAGATCACACCAGAGACGATCACGGCCAGGGTGATGAATATGTACCTGGAGGGGAGAGGAAACAAAAGGGTGGGCCCTGAGACGGTAGTGAGGAGGCATGGGCAGTCAGCTTGCCCAACTAGTAGGCCTTGGATGGGAAGGCATTTGCTGCTCTAATCCTGGTCCATCAGCCTCTACCCCAGTCACTGAGCCCCCCAGGTCCCTCATCATGCCACTGGGGTGCCCATATCCTCCACTTTATCTGCCCTTCCCCTCTCTCAGACCCCAGGGCCTTTCTTTCTGGTGACCCTCAAGGGGTTCATCTGGGCCTGTGGGCCCTTCTCTGTCCTGGCAGTAATGCCACAGCAACTGCTGACCCTTGCCAAGAGGCATCCTCCTGGACCCTGACCCCCTCCCCAACTTTACCCCTTTTGGACCCCAAACCACCCTATTTCCAACCTTCCTGACCACAGTCCCACTCAGTGTCCCTGCCCTGGTCAAGGGACCAAAGACAGGGCATCCTATGTCTCCAGTTCATGTATTCCCCCATGTGGGGAATACACAGGGGCCTGGCTCGTCCCAAGGGTTACCAGGACTCTCTTTGCTGAAGTCTACTCAAGTCAATGTAGGACTTCCCACACACTCCCATAGCCTGTGCCTCCTGACAGGGGAGGGCTGGCCCCAGTCTCCCCAGTACATGGTTGTCCTGAGTTTGGACTCAGCATAGTACCAAATTACCCAGCAGCCCCTGCTCTCACCCTTAGCCCAGCTGCTTGCTTAGAAAGAGACTTCAGCTCCCCAAGTGCCTTCCCTCTTCCCCCTGCCCTCCATGCCAGGCACTTGTTTCATGGTGGCAAGGGGCCAGGCCTGGCACAGACCAAAGTATCCACACTTGTCCAGCTCTTACCCATATGGGTTTATTGGGCTTCTATTGTATTCTGGGAATTCTTGGATGTCAGAGCAGCAGTGGTCATCACAGCAGTAACTATTTACACACCTAGGAGACAGATGGGGAGCAAGGGAGTTAGGACACTAGGCCTCATTTCTGGGGACTCTGCCCTGGACTCTGGGACAACCACAGGGGAAGAAGACTAGGGCTGCGCAGGACTCAGCCAGGGTCTGGATACAGTTTAGAGCCACTACAAGGCTGCTGAAACTCATGCCCAACTTCCTGTTGCTGTTGAGAGCAGCAAAGCAGTGTTCTCAATCCCCTAGTGGCTGGGTATAGGGTTGATGGGGAGCCCTTTCACTTGCTTTAGCTTGGGGGATGTCCATGGGGGGGGTGCACTGGGGTCTCCTGAGTGCAATCTGCATGGAAAATGACTAGGAGTCCTTCTGGGCTGTGAGCAAGGTCTGACCTGACATTTAGTGTTGAGTGAGGATACTCAGCATGGGGCACCTTCTGATGCCTAAGGGCAGGGGCAGATAATGACAAAGGGGCAACAGGAGCCACTAGGCAGGAAATAGTAGGTGGCAGCAGCCTGGGACACATGGAAGATGAACTTACAGGAAGGTCCCACAGTTGATGAAAGTCTGCAGTGATACCTGCAGAAAAGAGAGCATCAGTGAGAGCCCAGCCAAGTTGAGGGCAAGTTCATTACACAGATTTACCTCTTTCCCCCTCCAGAACCACTGGCACCTGCTTTTTTTTTTTTTTTTTTTTTAGCAAGCCACACAGGGATGGCTCCAGCATTTCTAGTCACTGGAGCTCCCCTACTGCTTTCCCAGAAGTAAGGGTTTAAACCTTTGGCCAAGCTCCAATAGAGGATGACTTTTCTGTCAACCTATGTTTCCTTCCCCAGTATAAGACTCTTCTATTCAAGCCTTAAACCTTTGGGTAGTTTTCCTACAGGTTGTTAAACTGCTGCTGAGTCCAACCCCAGAGGTGGTTGCATTTTGTTGTCCTGTGGATGATCTCTGCCTATGAAGTTTGTGTATTCCATTGTAAAGATAAGAAAGCCCATCCCCTCAAACAATGCCATGCAAACATCAGCCCCTTTCCTCACATTCAGAGCCACAGCTAACATACACTTGGACATACTGGGTGCATCTACATTAGACACTTAATGCACAGGAGACTAATTCTACTGCGCATTAGTGCAACGGGCAAAACCTGTGCTAATACATAGTAGATTTAGTTTCATGTGCATTAACGTCTCTAAAAAAACCCCTGTTCATCTGTGCTAATGCACAACAGTGCCAACTGCCATGCATTAAATTTATTACCTGTCATTGTAGATACTAAATTTAATGAGTCGTAATTATGGCGCATTAATGAATGTGTAGACTCACCCACTGTTACTAGGACTCCAGGGTTCCCTGGTCAACAGGGATCTGGGTTTACCCTTTCCCCATGGACAAAAAAAGAAAAAAGGAGAGAACCATGGATTTCCCTATTTTATCAAAGAAAAAACAGATTTTCCCTTTTAGCAGAGATACCCATGGATTTTCCACTTTTACCAAGAGCTCTGCAGGTGGCAGACTTCCAGCCTGCAAAAGCCGATTGCAAAGAGGACAGGAAACTCCCAACAGTGCCTGGAAGGGGACAGAAAGGGGGAAAGGGTGAGGCCTGAGGCTCTCAGTCACCCAAGTCTTGGCTCAGGTTTACTGTTCTTCCTGGAGCCTAAGGTAAATGGGGCTTGCAGGGGGCTGGGGGGAGGGCCCTGGGTGGCAGGTATGGGTGTGGGTGACTGTCAGGCTGGGGGGGGGGGAAGAGCCAGCGGGGCAGGTGGGGGCAGGGCATTGGTGTGTGGCTGGGGGATAAGGAAGCGGAGAGGTATTGAGTGCCTGCCTGGCCAGCAGTGTGTGGACTGGAAGCAGCACACTATCACTAAGCCAGGGCGGGGCTGGCTCCCGGTGACAGCTCGTACTCCTGGGATGGGGGGACGGGGAACTGCGCCCCCCAGATCTGTGCAGGGGTGGGGACGGGGAAGGTGCACACTGCGGGCTCATGCTCCTGGTCTTGCTGTACTCCCCTACAGCCTCCACAGTGTAGCGTGTGACACAGCATGGCATCGCACAGCAGGGACAGGCACAAAAGCTGCCTGCCGCTCCAAGCTCTGGGCTGCCCTGGCCACACCTCCCCAGTGTGCATGGGTGCAGCATGGGCAACATGGGGGCAGCAGCACATGGGCAGCAGCACAGACCAGCACTGCTGCCCCTGCCTGCAGGGGAAGTGTGGCCAGGGCAGCACAGAGCTCAGTGTGGCAGGCAGCTTTCCTGTACGTCCCCACTATGTGCTGGCACGCGGGGTCACATACACTGCACTGTGGAGGCCATTGGGGAGGGCAGCAGGATGGGGAGCACAAGCCCGTAGCATGCACCTGCCCTTCTCCTGCCCCCACACAGTTCAGGGGGGGGGGGGGCTGTGGAGAGGGGGTGCAGGAGCCGGCCCCACCCCCACCCAAGCCCGCAGCAGGAGTGGGGGAGCCAGCTCCATGCTCCTTCTGCAGCAGCAGCTGCTGCCTTCTTTTTGGGGGCAGGGAGCTGTGGATCTGAGTCTCTGGCCCCATAGCTCTGGCTGCTGGGGGCCTCCTCCAGCAGGGCTGGGGGGAAGGGGCACAAGCAGGGTTGGCGGAGGACTGTGGGGGGCAATTTTAATAATTGATTTTGGGGGTTTTTAATTTTTTTTTTTTTTTTTTTTTAAAATCAGAGAATTTGCATTTCTTTTTAAATCAGGAAAAACCAGGATCCCTGCTGGTCAGGAAGAAGAGAATGTTCTGCTGGCTTCATTTAACATTTTTTTTTAATTTCTATGGTCAAACTGGTGCAAAAGAGACTGCCCTTACACTAGTTGAAGAGGAACTAGTAACAGTTTGTTTAACTCAACCCAAATAAGCCACCCTCACACTGAAATAAATCTCCGTGGCGTTTGCATTGGTTTAATAATGACTCCAACTTACACTCACAGCTTAAAACTACTTTGGTTCAACCTTCTCAGATAGGCAAACTGAGATGAGTGAGAGCAGGACTCCTGGGTTTTTTCCTCAACTCTAAGAGGGGACTTATGTGTTGTAGTTAGAGCAGGTGGCACAGAGCTCAGACACCTAGATTTTTTCCTGCAGCTCTCAGTCCTCCTGCTGTGAGCCTCAGACCAGCAAGTGGGACAGTGGAAGAGTCACCAGCACCTGTCTTACGCATGACCCTTTCTTTGCCTGGAGTGACAGCAGTGCCCCACCCTCCTGCTCCTCACTTACACATAAGCACATAACGTGGGCAGTGCCATGGCATGAAACTGCTGTTCACCTGGCATCTCTGCAGGGCAGGGATGGCGACTGTGAACCCAGCAGGACAGTCCTGTTAGCTGTGCTAGAGGATGAGGTAGGATGGGAGCTAGTGGCTTTCTAACAAACTCGCATTAAGTAAGTCAGGGGTGGAAGCAGCTACTGAAGATGGAGAAGCATCTTGAGCAGGGGTGAGCAAAATGTGGCCCGCCAGCCCATTTTATCCATCCCGTGGGGCCCCTAAAATATTTAGAAAATTAATATTTATCTGCCCCTGGCTGCCTGTCACGCAGCCCTCAATGGCTTGCCAGAAGTCAGTATGCGGCCCTGCACCCGAAATAATTGCTCACCCCTGATCTTGAGGCTGCAGTATGGCTCCCACTGAGCATAGCCTCTTGGCTTCCACTGAGCAAGGGACCTGCAGCTCACACCAGCCCTGGAGGGTGTCTCTGCTTCCTTTCATGGGAGGGGTATCAGCAGGAGAGCAGCCCCTCAGAAGGCTGAGCTGGGGCATGTGCACATGGACTCCCCCAGGGCTTCCCCACACTGCTGCTGCCCTCCAGAACCATGCTAAAGCCATCCCCACCTAAACTGCAGGAATATCCTTGGTCCCTACATACCCAACAGAGCTGAACAGCCTGGGACCAAGGGCTAGAGGCCAAGGGTACCTCTTCATGGTGGCAGCAGCTGCTCCTTCTACCCTACAGCCTCCTTTCTGCCTTGTAGTTTTAAGTCTTCCTTGCTGCTTCTACCCCTCCATTCCTACAGCATCTGGCTTCTTCAACAGAGACCCCCCACCCCCACTGGAAGCTAGAACCACCACAAGTGTGATTTGCAGGGCAAGACCATCTATGCTGCAGGGGCAGTTGGTGATGGATCACCCAGGGCCCTGCTGCTGGTCTGAGTCCCAGATAGCTAGAACTTCTGGGCTCCCAGTGATACCTTAGGGCTCCCAGTGATACACTGTCTCCACCCCAAAACCAAAGGAGGCTTGGAAACTACTTCTGCTAGGGGGAAAAAACAGCTCAGGGCTTAGGGGTTTGCCTGGGACTTCGAGAGAGACCGTTCAATTTCCTGCTCTGCCACTGCCTTCTTGTGTGACCTTGGTCACGCACTTTGCCTCCAAGCACCTCTGAGGAATGGGATTAAGAACCATGCTCTGCCCTGAGGGACATTGGAAGCACAGATACAGTTACTAGGAAGAGGAACCACTTCAAGGTGAGCATCTTTTAATGGATCCGAGTAGTGGAGTTGTACCAAGTGGCATGCATGTCACTGTGCCAGCCTGCTGGCTGTAATCACCTGGTTTGGCAGAGCATAGGGCAGCTTTCACTGCCAGGCATGCCTGGCGCAGCTCAGGCTATTACTGTGCAAGAACAATATTCCCCTCCTGGAACAGACAGGTTTGTTAGCCATCCCCATCTAGGGCAGACACCATCTGCCCACCACTAAAGGGTTAAGGCAGAGGTTCTCAAATTTGGCAGGAGCCAATGGATCAGTGGATCCTTCAAGCAACACATGTAACAGATGAATCCAAGGAGCTAGCCACAGGCCATGAACAGGTTTGAGCAAAGTGTTTTTGTGGGTAAAATCTCCCTGAGGGACTCGTCCTGACTCAGCTTCACCAGCAGAAAAAAAGGTCCTCCAGCAGAGCTGGGGCTGAAGCAAGGTGCATCAGCAACGTACTTTTTAAGCACCCTGATATAGGGCACTAGGACTCTTGGGTTCTCTGCTTGGTAAGGGAAGAACGTCTCCCTCCCTGGCTTAATTCAGGCTAGAGTCACACTGGCATCAAAGCAGAGAGAACGTCCGGGATTCTGGTAGATGAGGCTCTGCCAGAAGTTAGTTTAACTCCTCAAGGGTTGTTGGCTAAATATTTATATTTAGTTGGTCTAATAAGAGATCATTTCTACCCAAAGAACCTTGTCTGTCTTTTAACAGCTCAACTCACTCTTCTGGGGAAGTGACTTTGCTTTGGCTGAACAGCTTCTACTTCCACGCACAGCTTAGATTATCCAGGCACTAACCCAGACAAGCAAGAGCAAGACTCCTGGATTCCTTTTCCAGCAGGTAGGTAAAGTATGTCATCCTCCCAGCCTATGCCCATTTCTCCTTCCTCTCTTCTGACACAGCTATGCCCATAGGACTCTTGAGGGCAGACCTGGCCCTAGGTAATTTGCTTTGAGATCTAGGGGAATTTGGCTTATGATGGCACTGGATACAGGAAAGCCTGACAGCACTGGCTGTGCTAGGACTGGGAGTGAAGGATCCCTCTGTAGCTGCTTTCTGAATACAAGGCACTTGGAAGAGAAGGGGAGGCAGGCTGCCCCACTGCTTCCAGCAGGCTGCTGGACCCTGTGCTCTGGTGAGGGAGGGGCTGCCTCTCCCCAGAGGCAGGCTCGGCCTGCTCCGTGGGGTCAGTATCACTCCCTCAAAGACACTGTGGAGGCTGTCATTGTTGGGTCAAAGTTGCAGAGCAAAGGGGCAGGAGGCCTCACCCCTAACCCCTGGTCCACACTCCTCCAGAGTGACCAAAATTGGGTCCTTATTCCTGGCTCAGTTCAGCCTCACAGAGCCGGCTGCTGA